AGGTGTGAGGGTCGTATTGAGGATAATAAGGAACAAGAGGACGTTCTTTTGCGTTGAGAGCATCATCCAGGGATTTACATCCACAAACGGTCAAATCTACCTGAAACTGTCCCACCGATGTGTCCGTGTTTTGTCGGCGAGTCTTTGTACTGGCATCATATCCAGCAGTAATCAAGAGCAGCATGAAAACGTTTTAAATGCACTGCCGGGACGCGATTAAAAGTGCGTGAAGACCCTATGATGCGCAAAAAAAGAGGGGCGCGAAGACAAATGAATCATCTCTGCTTTTAACTCAATCCAAAAAATATTCCACTTCTGTAGTCAGACCAAAAAACTTGCAACAAATAAGCATGTTTTCCGAGAGCGTTCACTGAGTAAAACCCGTGCGACTCACTTCTGAACAGCGCGTCTATCGTGTCTTATTAACATCTATTTGCATGCGCGCATTCCACCTCTGTTGACATAGCGTCAGAAAAATCCGTCAAGTCAAAAAGTTCAGGAGTTTGTAAACAAACGGTGCAGAAACCCTACATGACACTCGTTTTGTTGATGTAAACCCGCACAGCCCTTATTTGTTTTGGAAACAGAAATGATTCCCATGGATTAATGTCGAAAATTCGTCTCGTTTTGTTTTCGTTTTATTTCTCGTTTTCATCAGGCCTTACATTTAAATAAGTGTTATGATGTCCAGCTGTCGTTTCTGATATGTTTTTCATAAAGTGTTCTCTTGCATGTGTTGACCTTGGCAGTCCTCTTGGCCCTACAGCTATATCAGTACCCTGTGTTATCAGCCAGAATTTGTCTGTTAGAACATTTTCAAGCCAAACAGAATTAATTTCAAATGTCCATGCCAAACCTTCTCATCAAATTTCAGGAGCAGAGAAAAACTTAAACTGACTTGTTGATTTATCATCATCTTGTTTAGAATATCGAACTTTGATAAAACTTGTAAGAGCTCTATTCTTTCTCTCAGGGCAATCTTTGGATGCACTGGGAAGCCTTTTATGGCCATTGATATTTTCTTGCATCTGCCTCTCTTTTTTTGTAAGATGACAACATAGCAATTAGTTGTACACTGTAAAAAATGACCGTGAATTTAACGGTAAAAGACTGTAAAAATGCTACAGTAAATTCCCCTACTATATACGGTGAAAAACTGTATTGGACATTACATGTATTGGACATTAATTTTACGGTAGTATACCGTTTTTGGAAGTGAAAAAGACCGTATAATTTACAGTCAATAACCGTAAATTGACATTCCCAGAATTCCCTGCATTACATTTCAAATTAGATGTTTTTTTGTTGAAATAACTGTTTCTTCTTAGTTTTTTCTTATCAGTTTTGTATATTAGGGTTGTGTGTTACACCTACTGTTGTTAAATGAATGTTTATTGCATTATTTCAGTTTCATGTGTGTTACCATGATGGTGTTTAGTGTTTGTGTGAATGACACTGTGCACCTTCTATACATGTTATTATTTAAAAGCTGCTTGTGATGGGCTTTGGTTCATCATGTGACTTTCTCATCACCACCTGCATTCTGTGGTTATCAGTGTATTACAAAGGTACAAAACAGATTTCAGTACTTCAATAGGTTGGTATATTAACATTATATTAGTTAATGAAAATACGGTATTTAACTGTAAATTTAAGTTAAAACCGTAAAACCTAAAACGTTGCTACCGTATTTTTTACGGTAAAATTCCGGCAGCCATAGCTGCCGGTTTTTTACCGTAAATTTTACGGAATTTCTTTTTACAGTGTAGTGCTTGAGTTCATCAATTGGCAGACGGTTAGTTTTATGTTACACATGCACACAACATGGAAAGGGACACTTCAGTTTAGAAATTCATAGTTATACTAAAAAGGGAATTCTTGGAATTGCTGATATATTTCTAAACCATATTTATAGCTTAATTATTAAATATTGATACATACTTTCTAAATTGAATGAGCATGTTTTAGAAACAAAAACACTAATGTCCATACATGCATTCTCCAAAATGCTTGCTGTATGCTGAGCCTGTGTCTCTGGGTGAAAATCGAACATATCTGGGAATTTAAATTGAATGTAGTTAAAGGAATAGTTCACCCAAAAAATTAAACTCACTCTCAGGCCATCCAAGATGTAGATTATTATTATTATTTTTATTATTATTATTATTATTATTATTTTTTCATCTGATCAGATTTGGAGAAATTTAGCAGTACATGACTTGGTCAGCAATGGATCCTCTGCAGTGAATGGGTGCCGTCAAAATAAGATTTCAAACAGCTGATAAAAACATAGGAAAAATAGGTTTACAGTTATAATTGTTCTAATTTTGAACATAAAATACACTTGTCAGTGAAAGTTACATGAGTAGAACATGCTAGAGGTGATGCATCAGTGGCATTTGTTTGTACATTTCTTGTTTATGAGATTCATGTGCATTTACGCTAAATCACTTTCACTTCCAATTAAGTACAGCCTAAACTCTTCTGTACTAGATATAAAGGTATTGGACACAGTTTGCTTTTGGTAAGGATCAGGATGGAAACCCATAATAAAAGGCTCAATGTCAATATGGCTTTTCAGAGTCCTGCAAATAACACTGGGTGCGTTGAAGAGGCAGAAGCCTCTGCAATCATGTGATCCGGGCTTTCCGAGGGAGGTGGCGGCATAGTGACATTATTTAGTAAACTCTGCCATACATTCCTTGCGTTTATCCCAGAGACAGTAAACAGCCTCAGTGTTCAGATGAAAACTGTGAGCTGTGAATGAACAATGCCTGGCTCAGGGCCACATACACTATGATGCTTACTGTGAATACCACAGCTGTGGGCCTGGACAATCATCTCCATCCACTCGGAAAGGTCTTTGACCTTCAAATCTATCCCTATGGTTTTATTCATTGTACTTTTTTTTATTGAACAAGTGGACATTTGGGGGGAAAAGAATAAAACAGTGTCATGAATCCTTGGTGTAATATAGTTTTTCAGTTGGTCCACTGCAACTCACAGTGGAATCTCACGTCTATTTAATTTATCTTGTAGTATAATATGTAAAATGAATGAAAATTTAAATAATTTCGAGTTTTTTCATCAACATATATCTGCGTTCACATTATGCTTTAAAACAATATTGGAAAGCATAGATGCATCTCTACAAATGGCCCTCAAAAAGTACATCTTCTAAATGTAGTGGGGCCATTTGAGGGCACTCAATTTAACGAATCACTGCCACCTAGTGGAAGAATAAAAAGACTACACACTTCAGTGAATGGTTCTCTTATATTTGTCCATTTTTTAACATTGCCTGATGAAGTTAGCTTCAGCTAACATATGTTTTCACAGCTTTATACACGTTTAAATTTAAGGCACTGTTGAAAATGACAAAGCTGGTAAATACACGCTCACACACACACACACACACACACACACACACACAATCACATCAAATGTAATATTTCCAAAAAGGTTATATTGTTTCTTACTAAAGGCACTTTAAAAACAATTACCATTATACTCCCAAAGAAATGATTACCCATGGGAGAACACTTCATGCTCCACTTCATCTGCAGAAAGTAAAAGGGTAACAAACCCAACCCACTGTCAGAATATTTGCTGTTTTAACAACCACATACAAGGAGAAAAATGTTTTCTCTGTAACAACTGTGGGACAGAAAGACAGCGCAGCAGTCCACTGGGGGGTCCACTGTGTTCTTCAGTTGTAGCTGCAGGCATGCAGTAGAAGGAACAGATGTGATGCTCCAGGGGAAGACAGAATGAAAGAGAAAGCGAAGGTCTGAGCTGTGTTTTCTGTATATTGCACCATGTTTGTGCACATTTAAAGTCTTTGAGTAGTATAGTTATTTGTCCGTGAATAGCTGATTTATGGGAAAAATTGGTGTGTGTGCAACACATTATTGTGTATTTGGAGATAATGTGATTGATTGCTCCAGTTTTATAGGGACCAAAGGCTATTTGTTCATTTATTTAGCAATCTTAAGGCAGAAAAATAAACATTTCCCTTCTTGGTTTTCAGTCAGTCAGTCAGTCTGTCTGTCTGTCTGTCTGTCTGTCTGTCTATCTATCTATCTATCTGTCTGTCTGTCTGTCTGTCTGTCTGTCTGTCTGTCTGTCTGTCTGTCTGTCTGTCTGTCTGTCTGTCTGTCTGTCTGTCTGTCTGTCTGTCTGTCTGTCTGTCTGTCTGTCTGTCTGTCTGTCTGTCTGTCTGTCTGTCTGTCTGTCTGTCTATCTATCTATCTATCTATCTATCTATCAACCAATAAAAGTGAATAACCCAACATTTGACAGAATGCTTAAGGTGACTAACAAGGTGACTAAGGTAACCAACAATAATATATGTTAATATATGTATGTATTATTATGTTTTTTTTTTACTTAGGCCTTTTTACATAATAAATACAGGCTATGTATTAGTATTATTAGCCTGTGTTTTTCACATGTTCAATAATTATTTCAACAATAAGGAACATCTTATTAAAAAATCTTTTTCAATAATTAAACATTTTTCAACTAGTTTTTTTTTAGAATAATTAATTTTCTTCTTCTTTTTAATTGGATGTTTAAAATAAAACCTAAAAATTTATTTATTTATTTTATATATGTGTGTGTGTGTGTGTGTGTGTGTGTGTGTGTGTGTGTGTGTGT